CTCAATCCTGTACTATGCGGTACTCCAAGCTACCCCAGCACTCCACCCCAGGCATTCTCCGGAAGCACCTCATCGATACAATCCTATGATTCTCAACAGAACGGATGATTCTCATTGGGTGCCAGACCGGAAAAACATAGACCACGGACGCAATTGGAAGACATAAGTGTCGAAATCTGCAGCAGCAGCAACAGCAATCGTCGCCATCAGCGGTCTGCGGGGATGTAAATCCTGGGAAAAAGAGGACAGAAAGGAGCACCTCTTGGCTTGAAAAAAAGAAGTGACATGAGTGTCAATCTGAAGAGAGGACACCCCTAAGGTTTCGGAAACACCTGGCCGCACACGACAGACCCAAGATCCAAATTTGATCTGCGCATTTTGATCAGCCGAGAAGCCACTAAAACCCCAGAAAGGATCGTGAGGGAAGGTGCCACCAAAGTAGAACATCTCTGCCTGGGAAGGCACTCGTCTCGTCGAAGGGCCCCAGAGACTGTGTAAGTGGTTGATTCACAATGTTACGCAAGTTTACAAAAACCCCAGGCAAAGTTGCACAAAACAGCTTTTTGCAGCTTGATTAATAGAACAGTTGTCCAACCACACAATTGTACGGTTCTCTTTTCGAGAGAGATGTCCAGGCATTGTCAATCCAAAACGATGGGAAGACTTCTCTCTGACACAAGTAGGCTGCTGTTAAGATTGATGCTCAACCAAGAGAAGTCACTAAAAAAAGTTGAACGGAGACTCCAAACTGTCAATACGGATACTTCGCTCATTTATTAGAGTATCCGTTCTTTAGAGTATCTGTTCACTAAACTTCGCAACCACGGAGGTTTACCTTTCTCACCTTTGGTGTTGTGATTCGCCTCCACAGGTCCATGATGAAAGGCGTGGCCGACCCACAAGCATTCGCAACATTGACCACCTCCACATTCACAGCCACCTGGAGGGATAGTGATGGGATGCTGCACAAAGCATCTCCTAACCTTACTCTCAAACTGTGCATTCCAACAGCAGGGAATCAAAGCAAACAACTCAAAGACCTCTGAAATATTCTGATATACATCCCACTCACTCGGTGGAGTCACACAAATGAACACCACACAGTCCGTGTCCACCAGAGATGGGCTCTGTTCTCCCCACCGGCGCAGCCATCCGCACAGCCGGCCAAGCCCTCTGCACAACAAGCGCAAATGCCACAGAAGGCAGCTGCCCCAAAGACAAAAAGCACCGAGATCCTTTGCTGACAACATCTAGTGAATCTACTAGGAATCTCGGTGCCTCTCATATACAATAGAAAAACACCACGACTGACTGTCCAGGCAAGCTGCCACAGAACAACAGACCAAATGAACAGCACGAGAAGGTAGACAACCACCTTCAGAGCAGCCAAGCAAGTTTGCAATCAACTTGTCTGAGTTTCAGGGCACGCTACTTCAATCCTCTTCAATCTACAGTACTTCAACTGTAACTTTCCTTCCTTGCAAGGAAGCACATCTGGACTGTTTGCACAGTCAGTTGAATGCTTGGAGGTCCAACAGCCTCTAACCCGAGTTGGTCCGGCTTGCTGGCAAAACACACTGAAGAGGTATGCCCAACACATGAGCTCCAGCATGTAGATACTCCATGCCTGGGCCAAGCCGCCATCCCAATTGCTCTTAGGCAACAAGCAAAGCTTTGAAATGCGTTCTTCAAAGCTGGGAACAGGAGGTACCCTTGGAGAGGCTTGTATACTCCTGCGGCTGACGGGAGTCATGGCAAGCCCTTCCATTCAGGACTCACTACCGATAAAAGTGCCAAACTCCAAGTGGCCAAGTCATCCATAAACGCATCTCCATTGTATTCTTGGAGCAGCACGCAATCTCCCCGGCACATACTAGGCCTTTGCTGCTGGTGGAAATGCGGTGCAGCTAAATATTGCCACATGAAGGATGCCAAACCCATCTCCGCATCCAGCAACAAAGTTGACCAAACGGTCACAAGTGTCAGAAGTTCTCTATCTGCTTTGATCAGTATACTGTCTCTATTAGGTTGGAGGCCATCGCTATTAGGTTGACGCAAGAGGTTGGAGGCCATTGCTATTAATAACTTGTTAGTATATTGTCTCTATTTGCTTTTGAACGCTGTGATCCCTTGGCCGTCTGAGCGGAGAACACCGAAGTCTCAAGGCACGCTTCCTTCTCGCCAAGGCACACGCCGATCAATCGCCGGAAGAGGTTCCAAAGTCCAGGCCTGTTCACGTCATGTCAGTTGACGGTTTTTTAATGACTTGTTGACAACATGGTTACACGATGTCACCGATGTCCATGTTGGGCTCGGACTTCTTCATGAATTCCAACGGAACGAAACAAAACCGTTCGGCTTTGACTCAGTCTTTTAGGCGTTCCTCTTGGTTTTGGATCAAAGAACCGCTTATTCACTTGGCTCAGTCTCTTATTCGCTTGGTTTCAAATGCCCTTTAAGAAAAGAACAGAGAACATCAGAGAACTGCTTTTGTCCGAGGAGCCGGTGGTGATCGCAAATCGCTCGCTTTTTGCCGAAGGGTAAGAGCAATACGGCCAAAGGCAAAAAAATACGATAGAGGTGTGCTAACCTTGGCTTTTGCAACCAACAAAGCTTCAACACCCTTCCTTGTACGGCCTATATATATATATATCAGATTGATACGTGGCGCTCATGTAGGAGATCATTCATTATTGAATTATCTTATCTGGCGGCATCAGAAACTCCAGAGTTTGCCAAATGCAACACATTGTAGCCGAGGCTCAGAAACTCAATGAGCCTGGAAGCCCACATGGAAAAGGTATACACCACACCTCGGAATGCCATGCACTGCGTCTCGTCTTCTGGATGCTTTTTCGAGCAACTCGCATTTTGAATATTGGTGTGATATTATATAAATGATTCCAAATGCACAAAGGACTTCATCTTGGTAGAGGGAACTGCTGATGCTGAATAAACTAGACTTCGTTGCTAACCGTCAACCCTATCTTTTGGTTGAAGGCAATGCAAGGAGCATCTAGGATGCCTGGATACCCAATGGCTCGATTTCCACGCAACTAGATCCACTTTTCCCAAGCATTCTTTGGCGAGTGCCTTCCTACAAAACTTACAGAACACAAACGGTCAACATCAACACTGTCCAATACCTCTCAAATGCAGGTCTCAATTCACGCAAAACACAGAACTGCCCACACTGCATCGCAAGTCCATCAAACACTACAGTAGCGCAATCTTATCCAGCATCAACCTCCGGGTGTCCAGCTAGTTGTGACATTCTGTGGCACAAGATACAACTTAAACACTCTTCAGACTAGATCAAATACTACGAGTAGCACTCTCGGCAGCACTGTCGTGCTGCAGACTGCATCTACTCGATTCTGACTAACCCTTTCCTGGCCAAAGGTGCCCATGCATTTTGCCGAGGAAGTGGTGTTGGTTTCGTATCCAGTGAGGCTATTCCTGAAGGCATAGTCCCAGCCGCAGTAGCAGTTCCAACCTGCACAGTTCCAAGCCGTCGTTGGCTGGTTTGTCAACGTGTGTTCACCTCCTTGACATTCGTGAGCCTTTCGCAGAAGCCCAAGCGGTCAAAATGTGGAAAGATCAAAAATTCCTGAAAAAAAGACCTACAAGGATCTTCAAGGCTGTTCCCAGGCCTGGAATCATGCAGCTTGCATCGCTGATGGCCAGTCTTTTGGCCTCAGTTCTTTGCCACGCAAGAGAGCAATCTGACGCTTTGCTATCGTCAAGTCAGTGTCACCGGCATTGGCAAATATACAATTATATATATATATATAAACATACTGATAATTACTATATATCATAACATATACTTAAATTTCTGAGTGTTCCTCCCTTGACCAAAATTCATGCAATCTTGACTTCGACAGTGTCGATCCATCTCCAAGGAGCACATTCATCGTCACTGATGCAGCTGTACTGCGAGCAGCTCCCTGGGTAGAAAAAAGGACACTTGTGTGAGGAAAATTGAGGAACTTGCTTTCATGCTTGCAAAAGGAGCGGGATGAAATACAATTACAGCTGAGTACCGCGATGCATTTCATGAGTTTTTGAACGTACTAGGCTGGTTTGCACAAGGTAATCGTGTCAGTATGGCCTTGCAGGAAATGAAGGGTATCAGTGATGCCTGCAGTCTTCCACCCATCATCACACATGCAATTTCCAAGCTCAGCATCAGGGTGCCTCGCGCAAGCCAGGAAAACTGCTACTGCCCAATTATCAATTGGGACATGAATCTGCACTACCAAATGTGAGGAAAAACGATCAAAAACACATGGCTGTCGCCCTCTTCAGCTTTCAGTTTACAAATGCCCACAAAAGTATTATCACCATGCCAGGAGGCCCGTGGGCACCTGAGCTGAGAGCTGGTGCTTTGGTCTTACATCGTTACCTCCCCATCATCGGATGCTACTGATAGAATTGTACTCGAGGGACCTTGCTTTCCTTGTCCATCGGGAAGGGGATGGCAACAAGCTTGCAATATAAGAATTGTCCAGGACCCCAAAAGGCTGCCTCGCATGTGTGTGTATGTGTGTGTGTGTGTTTGCACGCGCACAAAGGGAAGTGGTTGTAGTGGCGCCGCACTTCATCTACCGGCGCTGTGCTAGCGCAACTTGGGCACAATCAGTTCTGTCAGCTCTGGCTATTTCAACGGCTATCAGTGCGATGAGAAGCAACATGGCTGCGGCCAGCTTCCAAAGCTTGAAGGCTTCGAGCACCGGTTTGCGGCTTCTAATGCCACTCATGACTCGTCAATCTTGAGGAATAGCGTCTTGTGACTCTTGTGTATTTAAGTTAAGCTCAATGTTGAAGCAGCTTCCATATCCATTGAATATCTCACAAGGTCCCAGTCGCTTTGGCTACTGCATTCCTTATTAAGCCAAAAGCTCGGGAGGAAGAGAGCACATCAACGTTTACTGCACACGCGTTGACCCATGTGCCTACCTTTCATCCCAGACCCACCATCCAGCTGAGCACGCCGCTGGGGGAGCTGCCGGAGGACTCCTTGATGCGACAGAGCAAGGATCATGAGCAAATCATGCAAAGCATACAAGTTGTTTGAAGCGCTTGAAAGCGATTTCCATCCGAACACCGTAATTGCACAGAAATACATTGAGTCTTCGATTTGCTTCAAGACAGGTTTGACCTGATGCGAATCGTGCGAACAAACAGGGCCTCAGCAGGCTTGGTGGTGCATGGATTGGCTCCTGAACTTCACCCGAAAGAGAACTCTTTGGTCAGCTGCGCAAACATGCGCAAATAGCGGCATCAGGTTCCAGAGCGAAAAAGGATTCAGGGACAATGACTGGATGGTAGTGTTTTGACCCAGTAAGATAGGGCATGGGGAGTGTATTTAACCTGAAAAGCTGCAAAAAGAAAGCCAGCGCTTCCCTTTCCCGACAACTTCGCGTTAGGGGTTCAGATAGGTACCTTTCAGGTATCGAAGGCAGTCTTCCAGGCCAAGGGAGCTGAAAAAAGAAACCGGTGTTAAAATGGTTGTTCCGAGGCAATGCTTGAACCTTGGGATGAGCTAAAGAGAAAATGAAATGCACCGGTGTCTTTGGCTCAAGTGTGGCCGGAGAGCAAGAGCCGATACAGGTGAGTGGGAGAGCCCACGACGAGCGAGTAGCGGCGGCGGTAATCCACCAAAGCAACAGGTCCAAGGGGGATCTGGGTATGAATCCGACGTCGCAGTGATGCCAACGACCCCAATGTAGGCATATGTGGCATACATGGAGTGTTGGGGTATGGAGCCACATACCCACGGATCCATCCTCGCGTGCACTGGTTTCTTTACACAGAAGCAAGCCGCAAACAGCCCAGCTTTGAAAACAGAAAAGGTTATGGTCATGTTCCAGTGGGTGAAAATCCAGTAGAAGCAACAAGAAGTTAGAATATAACGTCATGTATTATGATGGAACATCTGTTCTCTGCTGCAAGAGCGGCATTGCTTCTGGATGGTCGGGCAAGGCTACAGGCCTTTCCATCAATACTGCTTAGAAGTCCCTATGAGGGGTCACAGCGATCGGTTTGCTGCAAGTTGGTGGTCGGGCTGTTGCACGGAAAATGACATGATGGAACACGGCACAAGCACGACCACTGCAGAGTCCACGTGGCTGTCTGTTTCCGGGCTGTACAAGGCTTCGAATCAATCAGAGAAGAGCCAGTTCTGCGCGGCCTGAAAAAAATCACGCGCAGAGACGCGCGAAGGGAGCGACAAACACATGTGGAGAGCGGTGTGAAGTAGGAGTGAACATGTGTCGTCCGTGAAGGGGGCTCGGAGGTTTAGTCTATAGACCCATTAGATAGTGTGGGCACCATTCGCGGAGGAGACCGGTCCAAAGTAGGCCGAAGGAACCTCAATGAACCCATTGCCAAGGGCACCGCGAAACTCACAACACCCACGATGACACCCACCGGTACGGCGGCCAAGGGCATCCGGTCGACCGTCAGCATGGGTCGTGTCTGTCACGGTGTCACGGTGTCACAAGGTGTCACTGCACCGCAACGGCGACGGCTGGAGTCAGCGTCGCCTGCGAGTAGGTGTCCGGAAGTGCGCTAAATAGACCAACACATTTGTTCCAACACAGTTTCAAGCCGACGGGGCCCTTGCGATAGAAGGTGAGCCTCTTCACCTGAAGACATCGCTGGAGGGTTCTGAGAAAGCCTCCCCGCCTTCCAGCTGGAGGCTTCACGTTTGTTCTGCAAGATCTCGTGTTGAAGACATGCAAACAGACGCGCAAACAATATGCAAGTTCGCGTAATCAAAACTTTGGCCTTTCAGGTTCACAATCGTATCGTTTAGGGAAGTAGAGGTCTCCTCAGTCCAAATCCTCCATCGTCCAAGGTAAGTGGTAAACCTCCTCACTCATTCAACCCCTGCACTCATCCTCGCCGTCGCTATCTTCGCTCATCGCCCCGAGAACAAACACACCGTGGCGCATGAGGCTGTTCCTCGGGAAGACCGTCATGGTCTTGTATACTCGCCCTGATCGAAACCCCCCACTGACCATCCTTAAATTGACGGATTGGAAGCTGTCGTAAACAGTCCCACTCCCCTAGAGAAGCCAGTTGCTCCAACCGGCCTGTTGCTGCGCAAGCGGCAAGAGGGACGCCGTGAGCCAAAACAACGCGGGGCGTCTGCACATAATGTTCGAATCTCGAAGCGCGCGGTCGGTATCCTTGTTTGAATCCGCTCTTCATGTTTGAGGTGGCCTGAACAATGGTTTTAGGCCTGGCCCCAGGCCACCTTGAATTTGGCTGGACAAAAACATTCTGTTTAATGTCTTGTTCTGCCCACACATAGGTAACCATGCAAAAGCAAAAAATGCATTCTTGCGTCACCACTCGCTCCAAAATCACTAAAACATCACCTCCAAGAGTTTACGTATACCTTTCTCGGGCCACCCCCCCAGACCCCCTACCTACTCACTTCGTTCGCCAAGCACAGCTCAGCTTTGAGGTGGCCTGAACATAGTGTTTGAGGGCGGCAAACCCCAGGTCCCAGGCCACCTCGAAGTTTGCTCGAAGACCCCTCTACTGAAACGAATGCACTTCCTCAGGTGATCGATCTGGAAGCCTTGACGCCTCGTCAGATATACACCCAAAGATCCTCGCTTCACATTGAGGTGGCCTGAACAGAGTGTTTTAGGGCAGCAAACCCCTGGTCCCAGGCCACCTTGCATTTAGCTTCATAAACATTCACGCGCGCGGACCCAACAGGGACTTGCGTTTAGCTTGATAAACATTCGCGCGCGCGCCCCCCCATCGACCTTGTTGTAGTGGGTCTTTTTAGGAGCGGCCTTATCCAGGTATCCTTGTTTGAATCTGTTCTTCATTTTTGAAGTGGCCTGAACAATGGTTTTAGGGCAGCAAACCCCTGGCCCCAGGCCACCTTGAATTTCGTTTGAAAAAACATTCTGTTTAATGTCTTTTTCTGGCCACACATAGATAATTCCCATCCACATTCAGATGATGCAAAAGCCAAAAATGCAATCTTGCGTCACCACCCGCTCCAAAAGCATCAGAGCATCACCTCCCAGAGTTTACGTATATCTTTCTCGGGCCACCCCCCTCAGACGCCCAACCTACTCACTTCGTTCGCCAAGCGCAACTCAGCTTTGAGGTGGCCTGAACATAGTGCTTGAGGGCAGCAAACCCCTGGTCCCAGGCCACCTCGAAGTTTGCACGAAAACCCTTCTACTTAAACGAATGCACTTCCTCAGGCGATCGAATCTGGAAGCCTTGAAGCCTTGTCAGATATACACCCAAGGACCCTCGCTTCACATATCTTCATTTTTGAGGTGGCCTGAACATGGTGCTTTAGGGCAGCAAACCCCTGGCCCCAGGCCACCTTGCATTTAGCTTGGTAAACATTCGCGCGCGCGGACCCAACATCGACCTTGTTGTAGCGACAAGATCTTTTTAGGCGCAGCCTCTTGGCCATGTACAGGCATTACCCGAGGCCTCCAACCATATCCTCTAAACTGTAGCTACCCAGGGTCCGTCTAAATGCTATTGCGCTATACCTCTGCACCGCTGTCTATACCTCTATTCTCCGCGCCCTGGGGAGCTACCGCTGCTCTCTGTGTCTCTTTACACAAAATGCCAGGTTACACAGAAAGGCGGGCTTGCGATCAAACATCCTATGATCCAGTGCTCCAATGATGTTGCACTTTTTCCTCTCCAGTCTCATTAGTGCTCTAAACTTGGGTATGTCGGAAGCATAACACAGTAGCATTTATGGGGACCCCAGGTAACTACAATTCAGTTGCATGGTAAACACTTCCATAGTAAAAATGCATATAGCGTTTATAATTGCTCTCCTTCTGAAAGATGTTATTCACTCACAGCTGCACGAAGCTATAACACATCGGCCTCTGTACAACGACACCGTACCATTCAGATGATGCAAATGATGCAAATCGCATTTCTTGCATCACCACCCGCTCACAATCAAAGAACCACCTCCAAACCAACCTCAAAAACCTTCCGTCGCTGCACCCTCCTCGCCCAGCATGTGCCGAGTTCACGTGTACCTTTTGCGGGCCACCCCCCCCAGACCCCCTTACCTACTCACTTCGTTCGCCAAGCACAACTCAGCTGGCGCCTTCTACGAAGGCTGGCTTTCGTAACATACGCTACGATCCCTACTGCTGTGATACAAACGACCATATTCTTGTTGGAGTCCTTTCAATCCTTTCCCCTGCCTCAGAAGCAATATCCAGGTTCCATCCCAGGCGACTGTGTGAAGGCTGTCCTCCCACAACGGGCTCTGCTTGCGGAAGGCCCTCAGCAATTCCAAAGCACGAGGCTCAGAGATCGCTCTTTCACACGTGCAATGGGCTAGAGATTTCTGCAATTCTGAAAGATCTCTATATAATTCTAATCAATCACTCCACTTTGTGACTTTGTGCCTTAGGGACTTACTTCTCCACCCGCCTTGGCAACGAAGTGGTCTCCTGTAGTCACCAAACGCACAAGAAGCGAGGTTTCTTGACAATGATCGGACGAAAAACATCGACAAACAACCTCCTGTTCGTCCAAACGAAACTCGGCCTGCTCCATCGCAGAAGGCATCGGCATGGAGGCCTGGAAAGCTTTTTCATGGCTTCATGTCCCCGGAATCGTCGGCCAGTTGGATCTTGCAAGCACATTCTAATTTACTGTTACTATATAGTAGCTTCTTGTTACTACTAGTAAGGCACTTGTTACTAGAAGCGATGCACTTGTTCCTAGTAGCTTCTTGTTCCCCAGTCAATTTCGTTGGTCGTGAGTCTGGTGTCCCTCCGCATTGACATGAAGTGGCCCAGAGTCACCTGCTCCGGAAAGGGCATGGCAGGCATGGAGGCCTTGATTCGGAATGCCAATGTCCCAAAAAATCGACGTGGTTTTGATCCAATGCATGTCCGATCCCAGCGATTCTGCGAAAACTCCCCAGATCTCATGAGTCTCACTCCCAGATCCAATCTAAGGCTTCTGCCTGTCGATCCAATCGCTGCTTGCTTTGGCGTAGCTCATCCAAGGCAATGCGGAGTTCTGCTATGGTGGCCTTCGACGGAAAGACACTTGAAGCTACTAAGTTGAGGATGACACCAAGTCTGGCAGACGTTCAGTAATCGATGCCTCAAATCTCAAAGTTAGAACCACTAGATTTGGGAACAAGAAACATATCTGCTGTCTGAGAGCTGCTCCTCGCCACTGGTCCTGGAAGGGGGTCACTGCTTCATGTGGTTGCATATATACATAATATATATATAATATGCACTCATATTCTGTCTCAAGAATGCTTCGCGCACACTCTATATAGACGACATGTCATGTGCATCTTCTCCATACAGTACTGTGTCCTATGTTCGCGTCAACGCGATATTGTGACATCGAACAAAATCATATAATTGGGGTGTCAAGTTCATCAACTGTCGACCGGTCCAAAGTTATTTCATCGAAAAATGAACAAAGGAATATGATATAACAAGCACTTGGTTCCGGGAAGAACGTCAAAAGAGGTGCTGGAG